TCGATTCTTTTTTTAATATCCCATCATTTGCCTAAGAAATTTGTTTTTTCAAGGAGTAGAAAAAGAAACGATAAAATGCTTTCGCAAAGAAACGAATTTTATGTATTTTCTTTACATTCTACCCCTCTGAGATAGTGCTCTTACGAAGAAGCCCTGGAAAGAGTTTCTTCATCCAATACTGAAATGATGATAGAAATGGCACATATGTCTACGTATGTCCTTGATTCTTATTCAGCCTAAGATATCTTCAGTAGCTACATTAAACAAATGCGCTTAGCAAACACGTGACCTTTTGTCAAGTAAAAAATCCTCCCGTTTTTTCTGTGTAAAAGGAGATGTTTTGATGATGAGCTACCAAGGAAGTCATTTCATGTGAATGTTAACACGAAAGAAAGTTGTTTCCCAATCGTTTACTGCCGGGAGATAAGTGAAACGACACAAGCAATAAAACAGGCAATCAGCTAAGCACTTTGCTGTCCATGAATTAAAATGAAGGACACACGTAGATCATACTAAGGACATACATAGATCCCTCTTGTGTGGCAATCGTGGCATAACTTTCAAAACTGACTTACGGTTGAGTCACCGTTATTATGAGAGAATCAATTAAATCATTGCTGAGGCCGTTGTTGATATTCTTTACTTCCATATCATGAAAGAAAGTAAATCGAAACTCTGTAACCACACTCTGTAGCGGCACTTATCCTTACACTTTTGCGACAACGCATAATCGAAACGACCTTATTTTATTCTTGTCTTTCATAGTAATATGTAAGTATGGGCTAAAACTTTAAGGAGTAATGACGGTTGAACTGTTGAAAGTATCTGTATCTTGATGGTAGAGTGGTAGAATAATATCAAGTCTTTGTTTTTTAAAAAAATTGCACAAATCATTAATTACGCCCTATTGCCGTGTGATTCGGTCACAAGGCCTGCTGTACAAACGAATTTGTTTTGTTATGAGAAAGTGTCCATAATGCTCATGTATTTAGGAGATGTTTATGCTACTTGCAAACGATTCGAAAGTCTGTGTAAAGAAGAAAATTGACAAAAGACATCTATCAAAAGCTCTCTTTCTTCCAAAATTGAGAGTAACACCCCATCCTCTTCGTTTAGCTGTAAATGAATTTTTACCTGAAAAGACAAAGTTTCTAA